GTGTTCTCCGTGCTTTACTGGACTGGTGCACGATTCAAAGGTCGACACCTGCGCCTTCTCATCGCCTTGTGCCCCGCAGATGTCTCGATTCGAGGTATAGGGCTGCCTGCAGCAAGTCCCGTCGCCGGGCCAGCCCAGCATCTTGGGTGGCCACTGTTCGGGGGACGCGTGGGAGGCCATCGCATGTGGCACGTCGTGCTCCCAGGCTTGGGAGTGCTGGAACATCTGACACTCGTCCGCGTCGTGTATCGGGGGTCTTCTTCCCGTCTTCGTTGCCTTGCTCCCCTCCGTCCGTCCTCTCTCGGGCTCCTGTGGGGCAGCCTTGGGGTCCCCAGAGCTCTCTTGGGCGTCTGGGGTGGGACTGCGGCGCCCGCCGTGGGGCGTGTTTTTGGGGGGGCCGTCCTGGGGCAGTCGAGGAGCTCTCTGCCGCTGTCCTGGCTCCCTCTCTAGTCGCCGACCGCGTTCCACTACGCGCAAAGTGCCTGCTCGCGAGCGTGCAAAACAGGCATGCCTTCCTCCGTGTGGTATATCGTGACTCCCCGCGGCGGATCCAGACCATTTGCGAACGGTTGATTTGCGAGTCGTGGAACGCGCCTGTCCATGTGTGCAATGTAGGGCCAGCCTGGGGCCGTCCTGAGCCGCTGGTAGGGGCCCGACTGGGCTGCCCTGAAGCGGTCTCGGATGATTGCTGGGCCAGTCTGGAGCCCTCTTGGGCCGTCCTGGGGTCTTCCTGGGGGCCTCCAGGGCCGTCTGGAGCTGAAGGAAGTCTGGACAGGAAGCCGCCCAGAATTTTAAAGCAAATGGCTTGGACCTCGATGATGGAAAAAGGCGCGACCCTAGTTTGAGTTCTCCTTCCTGCGAAATCAAGTTGGCGTCGCTGCTCGGAATCACGGTTTGAAATCGTTGCTTAGCATTGGTTCACATTGTGTTGCATTGCTTGGCGTTGCATGGTGTTGTTTGGCATTGTTTGGCATGATTGGCGTTGCTAGGCACTGCGTGAACTCGTTGCTTTACATTCATTGGCATCGTTGTTTGGGGTCGTGGCTCGGCATTGCTTGACACTGCGTGGCGTTTTTCGGTATTGCCTGACATGTCTTTGCATTGCTCGGCATTGCTTGGCATCGCTTGGACTCGTTTCCTGGCAGTGTATGGCATGTCTTGGCGTTGCTTGGGATTGGACAAGGCGTGCTTGGCATTATTTGGCATAGCATGGCTTTGCTTGGCGTTGCTTGGCAGGCTGTGGATTGCTTGGATTGCTCGACGTTCGTTGGCGTTGATTGGTCTTTCGGCGCACCGTCGGGCGGGGGCTGCCGGGCGGGGCCGGCCGCCCCCGGCGGCAGGGCGTGGTGCTCTCGGACTGCGCCCCACTTTTTTCCCTCTCCTCCTCCTCCTCCCTCCTCCTCCTCCTCCCTCCTCCTCCTCCTCCTCCTCCTCCTCCTCCTCCTCCTCCTTCCTCCTCCTCCTCCTCCTCCCTCCTCCTCCCCTCCTCCTCCCCTCCTCCTTCCTCCTCCTCCTCCTCCTCCTCCTCCTCCTCCTCCTCCTCCTCCTCCTCCTCCTCCTCCTCCTCCTCCTCCTCCCCCTCCTCCTCCTCCTCCTCCCCTCCTATCCTCCTCCTCCTCTCTCCTCCTGCTCCACCTCCTCCTCCTCCTCCTCCTTATCCTCCTCCTCCTCCTCCTCCTCCTCCTCCTCCTCCTCGTCCTCATCGTCCTCCTCCTCCTCCTCCTCCTCGTCCTCATCGTCATCCTCCTCCTCCTCACCCCTCTTTGGCAACGCCTGGTTTGGGAATGTTGGCATCTTCGGGCCCTTTTTTGGGGTCCGCTGGTTGGCCTTCTTGTGAGGCATCTTGGGGGGGGGGGCTCTTGGGCCGGCTTGGGGTCCTCTTCGGCCTGCTTGGGGCGATGTTCGGCCGTCTTGGAGGCATCTTGTGGGCCATCTTGGCGGTCGTTGTGGCCTGCATCGGCCGTCTTGGAAGCTCAGGAGCGCAGACCCATTGTTTTTCCCAGTTCCTAAGCTGGGCCGTATTTGATGTATGGGATCTCTCGGCCTCCGTCTCATTCACTCCCGCATTCCCCCTTCGAGGCGTGAGCCACTCTTACTCTTCTCAGCTGATCTATAGCCTGGCTCATTCATGCTCACATGAATCAAGCACAGACTGATTCATCACTCGCACTCAGACGCACTCATACTCAAACTCGTTCGTAGTCAGACTTACGGACCTTGAGGTCTACTGACACTCAAACTCAGTTGCGCTCAGCATTAGTCACACTGAAACTTACTCATACTCAGACTCACCCACGCTCAGATGCAGATCTGATCATGCTTGGGCCTAGTCGCAGTCACACTCAGCCGCAATGCAACCGCGATGTAGGAGGCATACCAATGGGGCACCCGAAGGAGGAGCTGCCATGGGGGGGGAGACACGTGCAAGCGGGTCGCCCATGGTGTCGCCCTCGGCTCTTCCCTCTCTTGGGAGCCGCATGATCACCACGACCCCAGGGAGGAGTCGCCGGAGGGGCGTGGAGACACCTGGCCGTTCGGCCAGAGCGTAGGGTCATCTCGGACGGTTCGTTCGCCTGGCGCCCCCGACGCTTAGGGCCCAGAAGGCGCCGTTTGCATGCGCTCCCCCTACCCAGTCAAGCGCTTCGCGCCCCCATAGGAAGCTCCACCGAAAGCCCCAGAGGCGACGTTCGCTTCTGTTTTGAGAGCCGCTTGCCCATCGCGAGAAGGCAGGCATAGCATCCGGGCAGCCCAGGGAGGAGCCGCCGGGTGGGTGGAGAGCACTTGCTCGTTCGGGTCCTGGCTTGTCTCGTGGGGCGTCCCGAGCTCTCCTGCTCTTGGGAGGCCCATGATCACAGCGATGCTGCGAGTGGAGCAGTGGGGCGCCGCAGGGACCGATCCGCCATCTGGGGCGTCACGGCTCCCAGTGTACGCCCAGGCTGCGGCGCGATCTGCAGCGGGTCGTTCGGCTGGCGTCCCGGAGCCACCTCCGTCGAGAACCGCGCGATCACCGCGGTACATCGGGCATACCATGTGGGTATTCTCGGGAGTCGCGCCGTGGATGCCTTTCGGGGATTACCCGTCAAAATTGGAACGATACAGAGAAGATTTCGCATGGCCCCTGCGCAATGACGGCACGCACACATCGAGAAGTGTATACGACAAATGGTCGCGAGCAGCACCATGATTTGTTGCGGCCAGATTGTGGGGATGTCTCGAGCGGCTCGCTCGTTGGGCGTCCCGGGCTCCTCCTCATTTCGAATGCCGCATGACCACCGCGAAATAGGAGGGGCATAACAGTTAGGTACTCCAAGGGCCGAACATTCTCTTTGGGTGGATGGCAAAGGGTTAGATCTGAAATGCCGTTTCGAATGATCTTCGAGGTTCGAATCTGCAAAAGGTGAATCACAAGACGGATTGATTTTCGAGGTGCGAGATTGATTTTCGAGGTGCGAAAGCATTGGGATTTCACCTTGAGCCCTCCACTCGAAGAACATGCTCAGAAGGGGGAGGCGCCAGGCGGTAGGAGACTTGCCTTTTCGCGGCCAGCTTGCGGGAAGATCTCGAGCGAGGCGCTCGTTTGGAGTCGCCTGCTCCTCTGCTCTGAGAGCCTCGAGATTACTGCGATGCTGCAAGTATGGCATTCCGGCACTCCGAAGAGGAGGCGTCGAAAGTGTATCTCACGAGTTCGTTCGTGCCGACGCCAGTCTGCACGTTTCAGGAGAAGTGGGAAGGAAGGAAGAAGCTCGCTCATTCTCCTGCGCCTCCGTCGCCGCCCTCTCCGCCGCCGCCGTCGTCGACGTCGTCGTCGCGCCGAGGGCCGCGCCAACGAGGTCAATTGTTTGGCAAGTGTTTGGGGGGCTCGGGATGTCTCGAAGGTCCCAGAGAGCTCCGAGATAGCAGCAGCAGAGACCAGCAGACACCAGCAGAAAGCAGCAGGGACCCTCAGACAACACCAGCAGAGGCCAGCCGAGAGCGGCTCACACCAGCTGAGGCCAGGAGAGAGCCGCAGACACCAGGAGACACCGGCAGACTTCAGGAGAGTCCGGCAGGTAGCACCAGGGAGCAGCAGTGAGCGGCAGGCGCCAGCAGCCACGTAGCCGACAGGAGCAGGCCCCAGCAGAAGGCAGCAGAGACCAGCAGCGACCAGCAGACACCAGCCCAAACCAGGAGAGACCAGCAGCGAGCAGCAGGCACCCACAGGAAGCAGCAGTGACCATCAGGCACCAGCTTGCAAAAGCAGAGACTCGCAGAGAGCAGCGGGCACCATCCGAAACCAGCAATGACCAACATAGACGAGCAGTAATCAGCAGAGACCAGCTGAGAGCAGCAGACACCACGAGACACTAGAAGAGACTAGCAGACACCATCAGGCACCAGCAAGGACAAACAGAGACGAACAGACAGCAGACACCAGCCGAGAGGTGCAAAAACCAGCAGACACGAGAAGAGAGCAGCTGAAACCAGCAGCGACCAGCAGATACTACCTCAAACCAGTCGACCCCAGCAGAGATTTGCACACACCTGCAGAGATCAGGGGGGCGATGCATGCGGCACTCTGCGGGAAGAGGGGGCGTGGCCTAGAAGATTGCAGAGGCTCTGCCCGGCAGCCCATGGCACCGTACAGCGCCTCAACGTGCCAGCGGGCACGGTGGCGGACCGAGCAGCGAATGAAAGGATACAGACGGTGAGCAGCGGGGAGGCGAGGGAGGAGGGAGGGAGGAAGGTTGCGAGGCAGGGGAGGGAGACGGAGACTGGGCGAACTCCGCTCCCGCGGCAGCCTGCTCGCGCCCCTTCGCTCGCCACCTCCCTCCCCCCCCCCTCCCGCCCAGCCGCCCAGAGGCCCCCCCCCCTCTCCAAGAGAGCACACCTGAGAACGGCACGAGGACGAGCCCCTGCGGGCGGGAAGGCGCGCAACGCGCACGCCGTCGCCCCGCAGCTTCGGGTCGGCGGGTGTCCTGGGGCCGCCGGCGCACTGTAGCAGCGCCCCGCCTCGCGAGCAGGTGCCCGGGCGAGCGCGGGGACCTGCCGGGGGCGGCCACGGCGCGGAGGGGCCGCTGCTGCTCTTCCTGCTGGACGCGTCGCGGCTCGCAGCGGACCCGCGGGAGCGCAACCGCCAAGGCGTGGCGCACGCTTCGAGCCGGGACGCTCCAGAGAAGGGCCTCGCCTTCGAGGGTCGAAGGAGTGGCCATCTCTTCCTAGGCGGACGGCGGCGGAAGCAACACGGGGGCGCCTCCGCCGGCGGAAGTCGGCGGAAGGCCAGCGGAAGCCAGCGGAAGTATGACGACTACACCCGCTGATACAATTTTTTGGAGTTGGAGTTGTGTTCTTCCTGATCCGCTTAAACATATAGTTCCCATGTGCTCCAGAAGTCCATCGTGTCTCGCAGGCCCCAGTCGCCTGTAATATTTGCTAGCCGCAGTAGTGGATGTGGATATTTCTCTTTGGATATTTCTTTCATGCTTATCCATATCCACTGCTAGCTGGCTGGTTGGGGTCCACTGTAAGAACTCGCATTTTGGTTTGGTGTCCAGGGTCATTGGGCGGCCCTCCGGGTAGATCGCCACTTTGTTGGCGAGGAGCAGATGGCTCTTGCTTGGCCGCGTCTTTGCTAGCGCTTGGCCCACACAGTTCCGGTCCTGTCCCGCACCCAGGCCATGGCGGCAGCCAGCTTTGCCGCTCGAGGAGTTGTCGGGGGAAATCCCCGCCAGCACCTGGCAATAAGTTGCTGGTGCAACAATCGGCCCCCCAAGATTTTGCTGAAGCCACTCAACGTCCGATGTGGCAGATGGGACGGGGCCTTGACACTCCCAGAGTTCAGAGGTCTTGGCGCTGTTATACGGTCAGGAACTCTTCCTCAGCGTCTCGCGACGTCGGTTCTGGCCCTCCACGCATCGGCGCGACATGGTCACCGTCCTGAGTTTCTCTCGGCGTCCCGCCTCGCGAGGCAGAGCGACACCACAATTATCCGCTCTCAGGGCATAGCGTGTCTCCGGGGCCGCTGCCGCGTCACGCTGAGCAGAAGTTCCTGGCCGCGGGCTCTCTCTCTGGACTCACTGCCAGGGAATAAGTCGGGCATGTCCCTCTCCAGGAGGGATGTTCCAGCATACTTCAAAAAAATAGTCAGGGAACGCTTTTGTTGATCATTCGGGGCACTTTTAACGATTGTTTCATGTTTCGTCCAAACTCCGCCTGCAGGAGGACATGCCCGACCTGATGCCAGCCCCACGCTGCTGGGGCGGTCCTGCAGCTTCACGGCCCGGCGGCTCTCCACAGGTGGTATAGTCTGCCCGGTCGGGGTCTCGAGTCTCTCTTGCAGCCTCGCCTCGCTTCTCCCCGCTCCTGCTCCATCCGCCTCCTCCCTTCCTGGTTTCTGAATTCCACACTGGTTTTTTGAATTCCAAAACCTTCCTGGATCTTTGGATTCAAAAACCGGTTTCCCCGCTCCCGCTCCCTCCGCCTCCCTTTCTGCCGCTCCTCTCCGTGAGCCGATCCGTCAGTCTAAACCGGCTTCAGGGATGGGCCATCCTCGCGAGGGTACTTTACACTTTTCGGTTCTGTCAACGTTTAGCGCGTGTTATGTTTCCCTTGTTGGATTGTTCGGTTTCCATGGTTGGGTTTCGCGCTTGCGTATCAGCATGTTCCAGGGGTCGTGCATCCTTCACACCCATCCGTATGACTGATGTTGACTGTACTCGCTCCTGCCAGCGGTTCCAGACAGAGCCCATTCGGGCGCTGTTGTCTCTGCAGTTGGGGATTCTACAGACCTCCGTGGTCTATTGTCTGCTGTTTCGGACCTCTGCTCGTGAGTTCAACTCTTTACATTCCAGGCATACCGACTCCTGGTCTCGCCGATGAGTTTCATTCGGTCGCCTTGTGTGACGCCTGCAGATGCGATTCGCCCATTGCCAGCCAAATGTCGCTTCAGGTTTCTTCTTCCTTCTTCAAAGAGTGCGCTATCGAAGACGCCTACGGCGAATCACCGCAGCCCCTTACCTTTTTGAAACGACCATGTGGCCAAATGTTGGGCCACAGTCTGCCCAAGCATTCGGACAACATGTTCCTCCCAGCCGTTGTGGAGCCTCTTCGGGACACACTTGGGAGAGGAAGGGAAAGGAGGAGAGGAAATGGAGGACGAGGATGAGAAAGAGGAGAAAGAAAAGTAGGCCTCTCGAGGGGCCTCTCGATAGCCTCTTCGGCGCCTCTGGGGTCCTGACTTGGGCCTCCTGGGGGTTTCTGGTGGGCCCCTTGGGATCCTGCTGGCGGCCTTGGGGATCATGTTGGGGTGGAGGGCGCGAAAGGTCAGTTCGAGTTCCCCCTCGTGGGACCCTCTCTGGTCTTCTTGGGGGCCTCTGGGGCCGTGCTGGACCCCGATTGCTCCATCTGGGGGCTCACTTGGTGGCCTCTGAGGGCGGTCTTAAGGGCCTCTGGGACAGTCTTGGATGCTGTGAAGACCCAGAAGACGAATATGCACAATGCGTACGCTTTCCTCTGGGATATGGGCGAGTTGTTGCTTCGTGGGGCCCTCTGGGCCTCTAGGAGGGAGTTCTTGTGGCGTCCCTCGTGGGGGCTTCTTGGAGCCCTATTGGCCTGTATTGGGGCTGTTTTGCCTCTTGAAATGGCCTGCGCTCCTAGATATGCTCTATTCAGGATTGGAGACGGAGAGCTCAAAAGGGACCTGAGGACAATCCAACTTGTGTCTCGCGGCACGGCGGCGGATGGATAGGTACAGCGTTCGCTTCGTACCAGTGGCATACGTGAGGTTGCGCCTTCTGACAATTCCTTGGGATTGCCGTTCCGTCTTCCAAAACATCAAATGTGAGGATGACTTCGCGCCCCCTGGTGAGACTGATTCCCCGCTTGACGTCTTCGGTGGACACAGACCCGATGCTGCAGCGAGCCGGGAACCCAGTCCAGGCCTCTCAGCTTGGGTCCGTGCAGACGGGGTCGGAGGATCGCGCCGCATTGCGGATTCATCGTCCACGTCGCTCAATGCGGGGCGCGAGTTTCTCCGCGCTGGCGTCGCCGATGAACCGCCGATGCGTCGCGATCCTTCGATCACGTCTTCGTCAAGACGCTGAACGAAGTACCACTTTGTTCGATGCCCGTTTTGGGGGGACCTTCCTGGGGGCCACCTAATGGATCTGTTCGACTCAGGTTCGACTCAAGTTCGACTCAGGTTCGACTCAGGTTCGACTCAGGTTCGACGCAGGTTCGACTCAGGTTCGACTCAGGTTCGACGCAGCTTCGACGCACGAGTGGAGCGAGTGGCTCCAGGAAGGTCCCCAGAATGAGCTTCTAAATTGGATAAGGATGTCAGGGTCTGAACAATTCGTGGAGTACCAACTGAGGCCTAGCCATGAGTGTCACCGCCGCCCTCATCAGATGAGGAATCCTCCAGGGTCTGAAGCCTCCTGGGCACAATCCTGAACCAACGCCCCCCAGCATGCTTGGCGTGCCTCATGGCAGCGCGATGGCTGCCACTGCAGCGGATGCGCACATCGAGAAGCCATATGCCTTTCTCATCAGGGTGCCCTGGGGGTCTTCGCTCCGCGCGCTGCGCGGTGACTTCTCGCGGCCGCCGGAGGAGCTGCTGCGTTCGGGGTGTCGCGCGCGGGCTTTCGGGGCTGGGCTTCTCGCGGCCGCGTCCGCACTGCACTCGGACCGCACTCGAGAAGCCCCTGTCCGACGGCACCCTCGAGCTGCGTGGGGGCGCCCCCTCCTCCGGCCGCTCCTCTCTCGGCGCCTCCGCGCCGGCCCCCTCTCTCGGGTCTCTCTTCCTCGTCCGGAGCTCGGAGGCAGCACTGGGGGGAGACAGGCTCAGCAGAGGTGCCTCGGCCCCCTACAAGCCTCGTCAGAAATATCCAGAAATGGAATTTGAAATCCTGGAGCACGATGCTTTCGGGCACTTGTCAGACAGCGCGTTCTTCAATGCTGAGAGGGCGGGGTCGGTTTTTGGACAACGCCGTGTCCGAGTCAACAGGAATCCGTCAGCATTGGAGTAGCGCTGACCCCACAATCACCGAATTCAGAAATCTTCTGTTTATTTTTGACGAGGCTTGTAGTTGCGGTCGGATCTGTTTATTTCCCCAAGCAGAGCTTGCCTCTGTAGGGTCCTAGCGGATTCAGATGGTTAGGTTAGGTTTGTCGCCGATTTTCGCTGCACGCCCGGGTGCCCGGGTGCCCAGGGGTGCCCGGGGCCCGGGTGCCCGGGGGTGGCTCGGGGGTGCCCGGGGGCCCAGGTGCTTGGGTGCCCGGGTGCCCGGGCGTGCCCGGGGGTGCCCTATAGCCTATAGCCTATAGCCCGAAAGCCCTAAGCCCTATAGCCCTATAGCCCAATAGCCTAATAGCCCTATAGCCCTACAACTCTATAGCCCTATAGCTCTATAGCCCTATAGCTCTATAGCCCTATAGCCCTAAAGCCCCCTAGACCTATAGCCCTGATTGCGGTTTTTCTCCAGTATCGGTATCATCATTTTTGACGAGGCTTGTAGTTGCGGTCGGACCGAGGTACAAGATCGAGGTGGGCTCGGGGAGGGCACCCGAATGTTCTTCGTGCTTGTTGGATGTTCCTGTGCATCCTGGGGAGGGTACCCTGGGATGCTCTGTGTGACTCTGTGTTTGGGCCGGCGGAGGGCCTCATGTTCTTGAGGGATGATTTTCTGTCTTAGGTCCGACCGTATAGAGCAGGAGAAAGTCACCACGACACAACGAACCATGCGGTGTCTCTGGCTTTAGAGGGGCTCACCGAGGAAGAGAAAGCACACCGACGCACCGATCCTCGAGAGGCTTGGAGAGCAATAGACAGGAAAGGACACCGCAGCACAATGATCACACGACTGCTTTTGCTTGAGGAGCCCACTGATCGCCGATAGGGGCCCGGGAGCCCACCCCATCCAGGAAAGTCGTGCGGGGTCGCCATCGGAGGCACGCCAATCTCTGCTCCATGTTGCCTCCCCTTAGCTGATCGATCCCCAGAGATCCGATGTCATGTTGTTTCACAACGTGGTCCCTAGAAGTCCCGACCCTTTCCCAGGAGCCAGCGTCTCATCATATTTTGGATTGCCCCATGGCCCAGCGAGGGCCCGCAGAGGCCGAAAGTTGCAAAAGCAACATCAGGATGCGATTGTTCAACACGTCGGTATGAGAGTCGATGTTTCCCTAACGGCCCTAACGTTCCCCCTCATCCTCGTCCGGAGCAGGAGGAGGAGGAGGAGGAGGAGGAGGAGGAGGAGGAGGAGGAGGAGGAGAAGAGGAGGAGAGGAGGAGGAGGAGGAGGAGGAGGAGGACAAGAAATGGATCTCTCTTCGTCCAGAGCTCCTGGCGTTCTGGTCTCCCGGAGGACTCTGGGCTACTCCACGCGGCCGCCGCCGGCATCCGGGAGGCGCTGTGCTCTGGCGCCGGCCTCGGGGGAGGAGGAGGGGGAGGAGGAGGAGGGGGAGGGGAGGGGGAGGGGAGGGGGAAGGGGAGGGGGAGGGGGAGGGGGGGGAGGGGAGGAGGAGGAGGAGGGAGGAGGGAGGAGGAGGGAGGAGGAGGAGGAGGAGGAGGAGGAGGAGCAGCAGGACTGGCAGGACGCTGGAGGGAGGGAGGGAGGGAAGTCGGAGGAGCAAGAAGCCATCACAGTGACACGTTCCAGGATGTCCAGGGCCTCTCCACGTCCCACACGCGGGGCTGCAGGAACGAGGGCCGACGGGGAGGGAGGGAGGGAGGAAGGGAGGGAGGGAGGGAAGGGGGAGGGAGGGAGGGAGGGGAGGGAGGGAGGGAGGGAGGGAAGGGGGAGCGGAAGGCGAAGAGCAGTCGGCGGGCGTAAGGAAATTTTCGGGGTTCCGCGCGGGGCCTCTTGGGGCGCGGCGCTGGGCGCCCCCTGCAGGCGGAGGGGGGGCCCGTCGCAGACCCAAGGAGGCCGGGCGGAGTTTCGAAGGACTGCACGCCGGTCGTTGAAAGTAGGTATCTTTGGATTCCCAGGTCCCAAGCCTTCAAGCGCCTTCCTATTTCAAGAATCCGCATGATTTTGCTGTGTTTTGTTGTTCTCTGGGCTACACGCCGGTCGTTGAAAGTAGGTATTTCTGGATTCCCAGATCCCAATCCTTCAAGCGCCTTCCTACTTCAAGAATCGATATGATTTTGCTGTGTTTTGTTGTTCTCTGGGAGGGCCTGGACCCAATCCACTTTATCCGCCATCCTACTTCATGTTTTTACCTACTTTTTCCGGCCGACGTGTATGTCGAAGTCGTGCCGGTCCCTCTACAGGAGGAATATTCAAACATACCGGAAAAATAGTCTGGGGACCATTTTTCTATCATTTTGTGACTATCGGGGGGCATTGTTGGAGTACTTTTTTATTCTTCGTCCAAAATCCCCCTGTAGGGGGACATGCCCGACCTAAAACTGTGCCGACATGGGGCGTTTCCAAAGAGGGCCTCGCTCTCGAGGCTCGAAGGCGTTGTCGTCTCCTCCGCGGCGGAAGGCGGCTGAAGAAAAAATACCTCGGGAACGATGTTTTGAACATTTGCTCACCACTTTGGTGCATGTTTTTGCTAATTTTCGTTTTTCGTTCAAATTTCCCCTGCAGGAGGACAGGCCCGACTTACAACTAAAACGAGAGGCCGCCTCCGCTGGGGGAAGGCCGGCGGGAAGGCCGGCGGGAGGCGGCGGAAGGACGAGATGCGCCCCCAAGGGATGAACACGTCTTCGGAGATCAGGGTTTTCGAATTTGGCCATCTGCATGTCTTTTTCCGGGGCGGCCAGGACGGCAGAAACGGCAGGACAGGGCGGCGAGGGAGAGAGGGAGGGAGGGAGGGGAGGGAGGGAGGGAGGGAGGAGGAGGAGGAGGAGGAGGACGAGGAGGAGGAGGACAAGGAGGTGGAGGTCAGGGGCGGCCTGCCCGACCCTTCGCGGACCGACGGCCCCTCCTACGACGACCCCCTCGCCTCGCTCCGAAGGCTGGGCGGGGGTCAAGACCAAGCCGTGGCGAAGCGTCCTGGCGTGCCTATAGGCCTGCCGTACCATGTTCTAATCACGTTTTGTGGCTTCCACGACATGTTCTTAGAACATGTCTGGCTGGGACTGTCCTGTTTTATCACATCGGGTTTATGTTCTGAGAACATCGGCTTCGTTCTTAGAACATTTCTGGGTTCTAAGAACGTGTCGTGGTAGGCCTATAGGAATGCCGGGACGGTCGGTCCCTGCTTAACAAAACTGGGGCCCCGAGGGCGAGAGGGGTTCGTCACGGCAGGGGGCTTGGCAGACGGCAGAGGTCGGCCAGGCTGCGCCCGAGGATGCGAAGGGGAGAGCAGGAGGGGGAGGAGGAGGACGACGAGGAGAAGGACGAGGAGAAGAGAGGAAGAAGACGGGGAGGAGGAGGAAGAGGAGGAGGAAGAGGAGGAGGAGGAGGACCAGTGTAGACCCAAGAGTCATCAACCATGCTGGAGTAGACCCTCCCTTTAAGCTCCCTCTTCACTAGGTCCCTACAACGGTTCATTTTTATTGTGGGAGTTGCCTCGTTGGAAGACATTCGTTTGAAGACCGTGAAGCATGCCAAAACATTGTTCTCGTGATTCCAACGCCACGGATCAACCTGACTGTTGCGTCTTGACGATAGGATTTCGACACAGAGAATCAACATATCTTTTGCGCTCGCATAATCCAGAATCCTTCCAGAGCGCCATTTCTGTTACGTTGATGGGAATCCGTGAAACTCTTGAACATGTTGTAAACGAATGTGCGCGTAAGGCGAGAGCCACCTTTTAAAGACGACCCGCCCTCAATCCGTGAAACTCTTGCAAATTTTGAAAACGAATGCGCGCCGCGCTAAGGCGAGAGCCACATTTTGAAAACGACCCGCTCTCTATCCGCGAAACTCTTGCAAAGTTTGAAAGCGAATGTGCGCCGCGCTAAGGCGAGAGCCACATTTTGATAACCACCCGCCCTCCATCTGTGGAACTGGTGCCCATTTCTAAATTTTGGAATCATAAATGGTGAGGGAGTCTCAGGCGAAACGCCCAGCCCGCCCTAAAAACTGGCCTCGGGGTGCGACAGGGGGGAAGTTATTCAAAAGGAAATGGAATGGAGGAGGAGGAAGGGCGGGAGGGCGGGAGGGAGGGAGGTGCGGAAGAAGCAAGTGGCCTGAACGCAGGCGCGCAATCGGCTCGCGCAGATTGCACGGGCTGCGGTCTCCTGTCTCCTCCGTCCGCAGGGGGAGAGGAAGCGGCACAACCATGATTTGTTGTAGCTCCGCGCGGATTTCTTGGATCGGCGCTGGGACGTCCCTTGCGGCGCCTCCAGCGCCGCCCCCTGGCTGGATGGAGGAAAACAGGAGACCGGAGACCGTGCAATCTCTGCAGGCCGATTTCGCGCCCGCGTTTAAGCTAGTCGACCTAATGTGGGCACCAAATGCGTACGGTCGCGGACGTGTGCGCTTGCGCTTGGACGCATGAACAATGTCATCTACCTTGCTCATGTGAGCACACACACACACACGCAAACACAATCACTTGCGTACGCTCCCGTGTGCGTGTCCATTGCCTGGCCATCGGATGATCCAAGTATGCATCCAGCCAATGGAGCGACTGAAGAAAACGGAGGCGATTCCGCGGCATTCGCGCGTGAGCGTCCCATAGGGTCCCGCGCAAGGTCGCGCGTGAGCGCCCGTGTGCCACGCTGGCGGCCCCCGTAAGCCGCAGCGTGAGGTCGCTATGCTACCGTGCTCAAAGACCCTTTCCAGTTCGTCGCTCGTGTGGGTTTCAAGTTTCCTGGCGCGGAAATAGCTGCCGTGAGTTGGGCATGATTACAGTAACGCAGTTCGGGGCGAGCCTCTTAAGACGAGCACAGCCCAAACATTTCAGGAGTCTTCGCTGGCGCTTTGGTGGACCCCAGTGAGCGAAGTCCGAGTATATTCGATGGGCGATTGTGGGCTTCAACCAGTTACAGCCCCTGACGTTCTCCGATGTTTCTTTGTTCGATCGGCGGCCCTGATGTTCCCGTCCTCTTCCTCGGGGGTAGTCTTGCGCTTGGGACAATTTGCTTGATGGTCCTGGTGCCCGATCCCAGTCCCTAGAGGTTAAATCGCCGAAGATCGCTTGGGGATTGTATTAATGATGATGGCGCCGTGATGATGACGATGACGACGATGGTGATGATGACGATGATGCTGACGACGACGATGATTGTGGTGATGATGATGATGACGTTGATGATGGTGGTGATGATGAGGATAATGATGATGATGATGATGATGATGATGATGATGGTGATGCTGATGATGATGATGATGATGATGATGATGATAATGATGATGATGATGATGATCATGATGATGATGATGGCGATGACGATGACGAGGTCGATGGTGATGATGATGATGATGATGATGGCGCTGACGATGAGGATACTGATGATGAGGATGATGAGGATGATGATGCTGATAGTAATGATGATGACGCTGATGTTGATGATTATGATGACGATGTTGATGACGATGTTGCTGATACTGATGCTGATGATTCTGATGATCAGGACGATGAGGATGATGATGATACTTATGATGCTGATAATGATGATTATGGTGATGATGATGACGATGATGACCGTGACGTTGATGATGAGTACGATGACGATGATGATGATTTTGATGATGCTGTGGATAATGAGGATGGTGATGATGGTGATAATGATGATGCTGATGATACTGATTATGGCGATGATGATGACGACTACGTTGATGATGGTGATGACGATGATTATGATGATGACGATGATGATGCTGATGATGATAATGATGATCAGTGTGATGATGCTGATTATTAGGATGATGAGGATGATGAGGATAATGATGATTACGTTGATGCTGATAATAATGATGATGATGATGCTGATGATGATGATGATGATGACGAGATGATGATGGTGCTGATTATGATGATGATGATGATGATGATGATGATGCTGACGATGATAACGATGACGTTAATGATGATGAGGATGATGATGATAATGGTGCTGATGCTGATAAGAATGATGATGATGATGTTGACGATGATGACGTTGAGGGTGATGATGAGGATGATGATGAGGATGCTGACGATGATGATGACGATGATGACGATGACGATGATGATGATAATGATGATGATGGTGATGCTGATGATGATGATGATGACGATGATGCTTATGATGGTGATGAGGATGATGATGATGTTGATGATGTTGATGATGGTGATGCTGATGATGATGATGATGATGATGATGATGATGATGATGATGATGATGATGATGATGATGATGATGATGATGATGATGATGATGATGATGATGATGATGATGATGATGATGATGATGATGATGATGATGATGATGATGATGATGAGGAGGAGGAGGAGGAGGAGGAGGAGGATGAGGATGAGGATGAGGCTGATGAGGCTGACGATGCTGATGATGAGAGGAGGAGGAGGAGGAGGAGGAGGACGAGGGTGCGAGGCTTCCCAGCGGCGGCTCGCCCCCGCGGGCGGACCGAGGCGCCGTGCCGCAGGGCGGCCCCCGCCGTGCCGCGTGCGTCCTCGCCCACGACGAGGGCCGCCTCAGCTTCTTCTGCGCGGGCGGCCGCGGAGCCCCGCGTCCCCGCACACGCCGCGGGGCGGGGCCAGCCGCCCTCCCCTCCGTCGGCAGGCAGTTGTAGAACTCCTCCTCCTCCTCCTCCTCCTCCTTCCTCCTCCTCCTCCTCCTCCTCCTCCTCCTCCTCCTCCTCCCCCTCTTCTCATGATCCCTCGCCTCCCCCATCCCTCCGCTCTCGCCCCCTGGCCCTGCCCCGTTCTGCCCCGCTCGGCCCCCACCCACTCGCCCACTCGTCGGGCGTCGGTCAGCGCGCGGCTGGAACCCGCCTGCACGGCGCACGGGCCCCTTTATACTTGAGGGGGAGGATCGGGGGTGGACAGAACCCCCACCCTGACACGTCGATTCGTGGGCCGTCCGTTCTCGATTCTCGAGAGGGCGCCGCAGCCCGCCATTTCCCAGGCTTGCGCCCGCCAGGTTTGGGCCCGAGGTCGTTTCCACGAAGCCACGTTTCACTGGAGAGGGTTCTTCAGGAGGAGAAAAAACACACAGACACAATTAATCGTCGACTCCCAAGAAAATATTGGAAAATAGGGGAAAATATGGGCAGTGGGGGGGAAAACAGAAACCCAGAAAATACATGAAAATATAGGGAATACTTTTATTGGTGTGTATTTATTTGTGCGTCCCAGGGCCCCTTCAGTCCTGTCCGTCCCCGAGAGGAGGGGGGGAAGCAGGAGCGGGGGGGCCCCTCAGAGGAGGTCGGCCCCCGCGGAGGCAGCGCCGCGCCCCCCGAGCGGGGGATCCCGTGCCTTTCCGATGGGTCCCGCTCGGCGCCCCGGGGCGATCCGGGCAGGGGGCTCTCAGGGTCAGGCCGCCGTCTCTGAGGCACTGTTTCGCCGGCCGGCGCGGGCTCCTGGCCTCGCCCCCCTCCGGTGGGTGGGCTAAAAGTGTCCGCACGTGTCTCGCCAAGGTCGGTGGTCCCCAAACGTGGTGGTGAGAACACCCGGTGGTGAGTTTGGGGCGATTTGGGTAATGGTTTTCGAGCGCTGGCTGGCCCAGGAAACGCAAAACCTCGTGGCGACCGCGTGTCCCCAAACCCGGTGGTGACCCAGAATTATTTTTTGGGGGGAATCGGGGTCACCACCGGGTGTCTCACCACCTGGTTTGGAGACCACCAACAAGGTCTTGAGTTATCAAAGCGCGTCGGACCCCAATGTATTTCCCCCCCCCCTCGCCCTAACTTCAGAGCTGAGGGGTTTGGGTGGCAGGCCGAAGGCCAGGGACAGGCTGTGGACACTTCAACTCTGGGTTTGGGGGGAGGGGCGCGAAGCGAGGGCATTTCGCAGCTGTGGTTGCTATCATGTTGCACCGCCTCACCGCCATGGGTGTGGACACTTTTTGTCCGGGCTCCGTCCCCCCCTCCATGGACCAGATCTTGGCTGCTCTTGGCGGCTGGATTCTGGCGACCGGTCAGGGCCCCTTCCCCCCCAGTCTGCGGGCGCGACTGGCCAACGCAGATCGATTGAGCACCGACCAAGACCCAGACTCCCCCCCCTCCCCCCCCTTTCGGCCAAATGTCTACACCCAGATTGTTTGTTTTATGGTTTTTCTTCTTTTTCGATATGATAAAAGAAACGCCTGCCAACCCCTGAGTCTCCAACAAAAAAAAAACTGCATGACCATCAGACTTTGGAGGGTCGCGCGGATTTCTTGAATCTGCGTTGGATCCCCTGAAGGCGCCTCAGGCACCGCCCCTGGCGCAGATACGAGAAATCCGCGCGGACCGTCGAAAGTTCATGTTTACGCAAGTTCCTCTTCCTCTAGATTCAGGCATCCTCTTTTCGCGCCGGAGTTTGCCCGAATTGCTCTCAACCCGAGCTCTCCCCGATCACATTCATGTTGCCCCGTGTAGAAAATGTCCAGTGCCCTCTTGAAGCAGGAGCTTCCCCGGATG